AAAGGGGAGCTGACTCGTCCGCCATCTTGGAGCCCAAACGTTTGACTTTAACAAATGCATTTCGGCACAAGATATGAATTTCTTGTTCTAAATTAATTGTTAATAAAATTCAAATTACGTCTTTGTTTTTGGAAAGCTATATTTTATTTATTTACAAATTAAATTAATAATATAGCTTTAATAATTAATTAAAAATATAGCTTTCCAAAAACAAAAACGTAATTTGGATTTTATTAACAATAAATTTAGAACAAGAAATTCATATCTTGTGCCGAAATGCATTTGTTAAAGTCAAACGTTTGGGCTCCAAGATGGCGGACGAGTCAGCTCCCCTTTATCTAGTAGCTCTAGTATTGGTGTCTTAAGACAACACTTAAGATGATTTTGAAATGCGATTGGTCAATTTCAATAAAACCCTGAAATTTAAATTAAGGGGATGCTGGAGCGATTCTTAAATTAATCGGAGATGGTGAGATTAATCTTTTTTTTTGTTTTCCCCTCTACGGGGACGCAGTCAACCGTTATGTTATTTAGCGAAGGTGAAACTGATCTACAGAATTGACCCCAAGATAATATTTTGACCCATGAAGTTTGGATTAGAAAATTTTATAAAGGTGGACTTTACAAAGAACGTAGTAAAAAACAGTAGAGATGTAACAATATATTGTATATCATGAAAAATAATTTCATACGGGGACATATGCAGCTATTTGTCTATCGTCCTTTGTTGAGATTTATTTTTCAGAACATTGAAACCGGGTTTGACGTAGTTCTCGAGTAAATCCTTGTCAAACATAAATCGTGCCAGGGCTTGATCTCCAACGCCTGACAACACGGTCGTTAATTTCCCCAATTCGTTCACGCTCCTCATCTGATCTTCCATGAAGCCGGTGATAATGAAGTCACTCGCATTCAGGTCACCATGTTTCTCCGCTACAGTATTCACCGCCACCAGTTTTCTACCAACTTCAATTTCCAGCTGTAATGCCGTCTGCAGAAAATGTACGTGGACAAAAGACATTGATTAACTGTGTTAAATTAACTCTATTACTTAATATGAAGTCCGAACAGTTATTGCTAAATGTGAACCTTCTATTATAATGAAAGGATTAATTAATTCTTAAGATGTATTGTACTTTTCAAAATATTACATTGCTTGGAATTATTTTATTAAATTACAACAGCTTGACTGTTCAAAGCAGATTTACTTTGAATGCATGCAACGGACATTTCCAATCTTGGTTGTCTGGCGGCGATATAGCACATAGATGCACCTTGCCGCCTCGCATTTGTATGTAGTTAAGAAATTTCGATGCGTGCTCATGTTCCTCGTGATGCATTTGCATGAAGAATGACTCGCAGCCAGGTAGAGCAACGTCCACACGACCAAAGTGTGCAGCCTGCGTAATAAATTTTCATAAGATAACAATTGTTCAATTTTGTACGAAGAACGCATGTCTTTTGGCAATATATGACAATTGCAAACAAAACAATTCCTTAAAAAATATCGCAAATACTTAAAAGTGATTTCAAAAATAGTTAAAACTAGGAACGATTCGAGAGAGGATGACACGAGTTATTATTATGTACAATTATTTAGTAATTGAAGAAATGAAATCCATGTTGCATACAACTTTGTATAAAGTCTCTTGTATTTAAATTTGATAAAAGGGATAATGCCTACCATTGATAAATAATAATAAAATGCCATCAGCTCCACATTTATCTGCTCGTTCATCGCGGCTTCGGTTTCTTCATGGAAGTCAAAATTAGTCCTCTTTCCGCTTGGCCATTTTATCGGTTTATCGATACACGCATCTGCTCGACCGCAATCGTCACTTCCTGAATTTTTCCGCGTCGAGCTATAATGTTTTTTATAAAACTATGTAAAGCTAGTACATTACAAATCGTTGTAAATATATATTGTAAATAAATGTATGTTTATATAACAAAACAGTAGAAATAATTCGAATTTTACTTACTAATGTAATTACCTGGTGTAACCTAAACATCGAGTTTGCGAGTAGACTGTATGGTTATGAGATGTTAAAAGTTTGTAATAAGGTTTACGAATCAATACTCGTAACATTTTTTTATATTTTAGATTAAAGATTAGATTTAGATCAATATATCTTGTACAATGTGTGTAGACACATGTAATTTAGTATCGTATTATAAATAAATAGATAAACAAACACACCTGACGTGATGTTCAAGTCGCGAAAATCAGACTTCTGCAAAATTCACAAGGTATCAGGAGAACGTAATCGGCAAGGAGGTTGCGCTGTACAAAATTCCAGAAATTTTTTTAAATGCCAAGAAGTTTTTAAATATTTAAGAATTTTCTTCTCTTCCACGATTTGTAATTACAATTAGAAATTTCCAATTGGAAAAATTACAAATGTCAAAAATTGGCAATGTATTAGTTAAAATTCGAAGTATTGCTGTTTCAAAAATTCCTATTATTTATTTTCTTCCTTTCGCTTATACATTATAATTATACATAAGTAACATACATTGTAAAATACTAGAAGTAGTTCTAAATAAATACAAATTGATTAAAATGATATTTTCTAGTCTTTACAGTAACAAAGCTATTTTTTCTTCCATGATTGTTGTAAACTTTAATTTTAATATATTATCGAATTTAAACCTTTGTTAGAATTACAAGTAATTTTATTAAAGTATTGTGACAAACTAATGCTCCATTTATTGTCATCTCGAGCGATATTTTTGTATAATAAAATTTGTCATACAATTAGAAATTGTAGTAATAATTGTAGTCCTTTTAAACATGAAATTGAGATATACCGATTTGATTTTACTGACTGTAAGAATGCTTTACAATAAGTTCCTATTACAATAAATCGTAAATGTGTCATTGATTTATCGAATTAGGTGAGGGATTTGAGAGCTGATGTGTGTTATTTGAAGGCACAGAGTTTATAGAACTGAGGCTCTCTTGTTTTATATTAGAACTGCTAAGATTCATGTTGATCACAGTTGTCGACGTAGGATTTTGCATATCTAACTGACTTTGTGCGATGTCCTGTAGAGCCGCCTGGATTCGCTGGAGAAGCGCCTCGCCCTGTCTCACTACCTCCTCCAGTTGCTCACCAGCCTGCTGATTCTCCTGCTCGAGTCTGCTGAGACTGGCCACCTGCAGCTCTTGCGACGACTCTTCGCTCGGCAAGCTCTCTATTAACGTATCTATATCTTTGGCACACCTCGCAATGAGATTCGCAAATAACGCAGCGTAATCTAAAACAAACAAACTGCGGCTTGCGATCAACATGCACGTTGAACGTAGCATCGTGTTAGCAGCATGTATCCAAATGTTTGGGAACCTTCTTGAGATTGATGCGGCTGCGGGGTGCCGATGCGATCGAAACCGGGAAATTTACTGGGCGTAGAATACTGCTGGAGAATACCGACGCTGTTGCAGAAGTGCTCCGCTTGCTAACGTAAAACCGACATTATTTTTAAGCTCATTAAGACGCCGAGATGATCAGCGATCGCAGCAGGAAAAATTGCCTTACTTGGTTTATGGTGTCCTGCAACTGTGTCAAACGATCTGCCATAATGTCGAATCAATACCAATTTATACGGATTGCTCGCAATTAGTTTGAACAGCCTCTCGTAGTATTCATAACACTCGACAAATTGTTCGGAGTAAGTTCGCCACCTGTCACTGTCGTTCTAAAAATTTCAACGTTTCCCCAAACAAAAGTTCGACGTAATTCATCGAAATCTCACTTTATTTTCCGTGCTCTTTGACCACAATGCAACTTGAAACATTGCGTATATCTGTTTTGTTGAGAGAGAAGCTCCTCTAAAACAACAATCCCTGGAAACCACAGAAAGTCAGAAAGCCATAACCTATATACACCTCCACATTTTTAGCACCATCTTGTAAAGCCAAATCCACATTTACGACATTAAACTCAAATTACATGTGAATTGCAGGTTGTGGGATTAGATTGGTTGTCCGATGAAAAATTCTGTGTTCGCTGGACAAATTTTTCAAAATTGGATTTTCGTCTATCAGCTTTACACGATGTAATATTCCAGAAAGAATACAATAATGCAAAAGATATAAGTGTTTTATATATATATATATATGTGATACATAATAAATATTTATAAAATTAAATAATGTTATTATTTAATTACATGTATATTCTTAAAAAGAGAACTACATACATCTTTAAACGTTGGTCAAGATGAAATAACGTAACTGACGTATTTTCTTAAATTTTTATTATAACTTGAAAAATAAAACCTAAAGCTATGTTCGTATAACATTCTTCTCTCATTTTGCACTGTAAGTTCACTCTGTAAATCATTGACATACAATATTGAAAGTCACTCTGTATATGATACATATAGAATATTTACATTGCTTATAATTGCAAGTACGATTGCACTAAATACAATCCCAATTATATGTCTTGAAATGTTCGGTTAATATGTTCAGCGGTCGACGATGAATACAAAAAGGAGACGCTGCAAGATAACACACGGTGGTAATGATTCATACATTTATCTCACCTGTTGAAGTCCGCACGCCGGATCAGAGGGGTCTCGTAATAAAGTAGGAAGAAACGCATCTTAACATAATTTAGCATTTTCCATTGCATTTTTATAAAATGTTTACATGGGGAAATATTTACAAAAATATGAGTAGGGTGTGATGAAGTGTAGAAGACAAGAAAAAGAATGAACAATTCAGTTGAGGGTACCCCGGCATTGAGGAGCTCCACAAAGGCAAGGGATTTTGTCATCCTCCAATGGAAATTTATAATCATAAGTTATTTCCTCGTTAACTCCTATCGGTTGCTTACTGTAGATTACGATCTTCTTTTGGCTTTCGATCGTGATTACTTTTGCGTAACAATTTGGCTAAAAGAAATAAACATTTGATAAATACACTGAAATATATATTGCTCTGCCTCCCTCGCTCCAGGATTACTATTAGACTTTTTCTTGCAAGTTGAACTTTTCATCAATTTTCCAAATTAAATTTCTATTTATATTAGAATTCTCTTTTTGTCTCGCACATATAGAATGTATTTATTATATTGCACAACCAATCAAGATCAAAACAAACGGATAATCTTAAATGACTCACATTGCAACTGTGATTTATGAACCTCGCCAAATTGCCGCACTTTGTCGCATCGATAATGGTATCTAAATCGATGCGGAAGAGGTAAGAACTACCGATTCCAGTGGCTTCATATTGGGCTTCTCGTAGATCGGCCACAACCGGTCTAACCATTTGTCCCACATACTCGATAACCATTTCATCGGCCGCGATTGGTTCCATGGCAAACAAGCCCCAATCGTGAATACCAGACTTGGCAAATTTCAACTGTTTCTTACGGAACTAGAACACAACATTCATGTTAGAATGTACGAATTTTAGCGATATTAATACAGGTATTGAATTATGTATTCTCTACCTTTAATTGATTAAACTTAAGGAGATCACTGTCCGTGTCAATTCCGAAAGCTGTTAACAACCGGCGTTGATTGCTTCGTGCCTCGCGTGACAACGCTTGCATTTTGCCGGTCAACGCTTTAGAATTATTCTTTGGACCATTCATCACACCGTCACCTCCGATGTAAGAACCGCCACTGTCCTCCACGTCGTTGCTACGTTGTATACTTTGAGCATAATGATGCTGCAAGAATAAAGGCAATTATTTGCTATATCCCTACAAAAATCCCTGATTCTAAAAATGATATGAACATATGCACGCCTTTAAAATTTTCTTTAGAAAATGGTGCACGTATAAAAATATAACAAGTTCTTACTTTATGTTTAGCCTTCTCTCTGATGTCAACTTTGTAATATCCTTCCGTTCTAGCGCTTCCACTTGCGTGCAATCGGAGCTCGTCTCGTTTTCTCTTCTTTGCAGGACTCGGTACATCTGTCGGCGGATGATCGACCCAATGCGTGTCATTCAACCAGTAACCTTGAGTATCGTCCGCTAACAAAGCCTCGTAACTTCTTCTCAAGTATTCTACGTCCTCCGCGTCTATTCCCCTAGTTAAAAACTCGTACAAAATAGCCATTTCCGACATAAGATCTCGTTCTTTGTACGTGACAGTCGGCTCTGGAACCTGCTTAATAATTTTGTCATATATATAGTCATTTCGGATATTCTCCTTCTCGCCCACGTGGTTCTGATGACCACTGTGTACTTTTGTATATTTCTTAGATTTCTGCTTCTCGATTTTGTGAGTATTGTCCTTCGATTTCGTTAATTTGACAATTTTCGGGTGCTTCATCTTCATCGAGGCTGCTGGTACACGGATAACGGGTTCCACGAGCTCGGGTTGTGTGGGTGGCAATGAATACGAGTGCTCCATATACACTTGCGAAGCTTGAGAACCAGGCGAACTCGGTGTTCGCTGTCCATTCAATCGAAGCTCTGTCTCTGCTTGATACCTATAAAGAATATTATTACGTAATGGGAAAAATTATTCGACGTATCTGGCAATATTTTATTTAAGGAAATACACAACGTTTTGACCGAGAATTCCGCGGTCCTTTTCAGGTGAAAAGCGTCTTAATTACATTCTAAAGTCAGACAAGTGCCAACCAGTCGGAATTTGAAGACTATAAAATTATTCTATGTCAAAGAAACAGAGTCACAGAATATAAAAGTGAAAAAGGTACGAAAAACTTACATGTTTATCAAGTAGCATAAAAAAAAAACGAAAATTTTACGTAGAACTCGTTCACTACGTATAACATTCTTCGCGTTAAACTTGGCATAAACGAAACAGTCTGTTCACACCAACGATCAGTGTCACAATGATGATCGAAATTGTCTAACGGTATAAAAGTTACAAAAAACCACCGCAACAGAAAACATAAAAGTGAGAAGAGACAAAGAACAAAACATCCAAGCCAATACACATATTCGAAAAATATACAATTAAAGTTGGTGTGAACAGACGGCCGTGTATTCCAAGTTTAGTGCGATCAACGTTATACGTAAAATCGAATTTTCATTTTTCCTTATGCTTCTTGATAAACATGTAAGTTTTTTGTATTTTCTTCACCTTTATATTCTGTAACTCTGTTTCTTTTACACAATAATTTTATAGTCTTCAGATTCTGACTGGTTGGCACTTGTCCGACTTTAGAATGTAATTAAGACGCTTTTCTCTTGAAAAAGACCGAAATTCTCGGTCAAAACGTTGTGTATTTCCTTAAATAAAATATTGCCAGATACGTCGAATAATTTTTCTCATTACGTTTTATTTCAACTAATCACTGGCGAAGAAAAGATTTTCAGTAAAGAATATTATTACTGCAAATCGTTGATTACTGCGTAGTACGCACTACGGTATTATTACGAAAGAAAGTGATCATGTAACAAACACTTCTTTAAAAAAAAAAACCATTTAACTGACCTTAATCTTCTGATTTCTAAGCTCTCCTCCTCCGAGTCGGTGGTAGGAATTTCGCTAAACATCTCTATCTTCTCGTTATCCCTCAGGATAGGTTCGTCATTGATGTATCTCGCTGACATTGTCTGCAGCGCTCTGATAATATTAGGCTGCATAGGACCAGGACTCCTATGGCGTATAATGTTATCTCGTCCAGCTAGAGTCATCAGAGCTTCTGCGGCCGAATTTTCCATTTTTTGTATATCCGGTATCATCTCTTCTTTAACAATTACCGACGTTACCGGTATTATAAGTTTCAAGTTGCTCTGCGTTCCTTTATCCTCGGTAATTCTCGGTATATCCTTCATCTCCTTGTCCAAAGTTCTACACGCGTCAAACGGTTTTTCTTCCGTTACCGACAACTTTTCAGAAATTCTTTCCTCCTCTTTAACGCTCTCGTATTTTATTGGCAAAGCCAACGAACCACCCAGATTGTCACCGTCCTCAATCTGTGGGAACTCGGTTGAATTTTGATCTTTAATTTTGATATCCGGCACCGGCGTTTCTCTGCCGATTGGCGTGGGACAGTCCAGAGACCTTTGGATCGCGAGTTCCATTAGTACGTCAGGATCCTCGCTGTTACACGCCAAAGGTCTATGATCGGACATTCGGCTATCTGTGTCTTGCTAAAAATGAATTCATTTTTAATTAGCGTAACTGTCGTAGGTTTTTAAATCGCTCGGCGTTCATTCGCGCCTCTATACGCACCTCATCTTCGAAGGCTTCTTCATCAGTACTTTCATTCGAACTGTCGGAAGATTCACTGGAACTAATCTCCTCGCTACTACTTTCGACTGACGAAGACGCGGTAGACGAGGAAGAAACGGTCGGAAGAGAAGTAATCGGTTTCTTCGTTTTTTGTACAGGCGGTACATCCAGGTCACTGTCGCTTTCGATCGTTTCTACATCAGCGTGACCTGACTGTCGGCTATCCTCATCCTGCGGCAATGGGCTTGGAGCTTTGATCTTGCGCTGGATACAAAAAAGTAACTAAATAAATAAATAAGGTTTATAAGTGTTATCGAAAAAAGCTGGAGAACATGAAAGCCCTTTACCCTGAATGAAGGCATCTTTGGCATACTAGCTCTGATACCTAAACCAAAACCATCGTAATTGAGCCCTAATGGCGTCGCTTGCTCCAACAACGACGACAATCCTTGCGGCTTCACATCCTCTTTCGTCGTGTTATTGACAATAATGTTGTCGCCGCTACCCTGAGTTTGACTCTTTTCCGATTTCTTTTCATCCCACCAAACCTCGAACAATTTGAACGCCGTATTTTCTATCATCTTCTTATTAAAATCCTTCTTTAGAATTTGCTTCAGTTCATTCACAACTCTGCTCAACACTCCATTGATGGTGGGTCCCTAAATACGAATATTTAAAATAATTTCCCCGATAGATAAGTCGCGACAAAATGCTAAGTTCAGGTTTGCACGTCTACGTAAGAAAATCTTGCCTGTGGATCTTTCGTGATGCTATAGTTCGCCATAGCATGTAACCGAGATTGAAAAGATGAGTAATAATTTGTCCCTTGATGATTTCCAATTGTTGCCGAGAAGGACGTCGTGTTTGGCTGATAATGGCTCTGTAAATAAGTCGTTCCATAAGGATAAGGATACTGCGACGGTCGCGGCCAATTGTAAACGTCATTAGAGGGGTAGTGGGTCAAGTGTCCTGGATAACCAGCTGCGGGGTATAGTTGATTCGAAGGTTCAGTCTGTGCTATTACCTGTCGAGAAGAGATTCACGAATGAAATAGGCGCATATGGGATAGATGCTACATTTTAAATATACACGTGTCTGAATAATCTCACTTCCTCAATCTTCTCATCTCCCGAACTCAAAGGACTCAGAGACATTCTGTCGTCGTCGGGTGGCGGAGGCGGAGGCGGTTCCTTAGGTGGCTCTGGTTCGTGATCGTCAGGCGCTGGACTGTAGCTACCTAACAACGCCTCGTCTTCACTGGAACTTATGACGCTACCCAAGTCCTCGTCCACGGAGAACTGACAGGTGTTGTTCTCGTGAGCTTTCCTGCGTTCTTTATTTCTCTCCACTACCTTGTCGAAGCACAGCTTGTATATCTCCTGCGATAGAAAGGGGCTGGGGGGCTCGGACAGCATCTCATTTTCACCGTGTTGAGATTTCTTGTCGTCCTCGGAGTCGCTGCCGAATTGTAAAAAAGGAGGCGCCATCCCGCCCGCTTTGTCCTTTAGTAACATGGCGATTCTAGTATCTAAATCTAGCGTCTTGCGAGTCTCGTCGGGGGAGTCGCGCGGCGTGACGCTCTTCGCCGTAGTCTGATTCTGATTCTCCTTCTCCTTTTTAGGAGTGTGATGCGCTTTCGCGCTGGAAGTCTTGTTATTAATCGGCGTCACGTTAGAACCGGCGCAGTCCAAATTTGTCGCGTGCTGTTGAATCGGCCAGACAGAAGTCGAGGTCGAGTAGCTCGCCGATCCAGAATTATTGCCCCACCATACATTTGAGTTCTGCTGAATAGATATATTCTGCGATATATTCTGCGAGACGTTCTGCGGGATGCTGGCCAGGTAGCTGCTCGGAGGTTGATGATGATAACTACTGTAGTAGAAATCGTAGTTCGTGGCCGGGGTGGAATTTTGCGAATAATTACTAGAATAATTCAGTTCACTGGGCGCTGTTCCGTAACCCAAATCACTACCCGTACTGCCGCTCGGCGTGGGATAGTCCCTATATTTGTATCTCGAGTTTTCCACGTACGGCTCTCTGCTCTTCTCGATACTTGGAATAGGTTTCTTAGTGTTCCTAAAGTCGTCTCTCTCCTCCGGCACAGGTTTCTCCACCGGCGTCTGATGTTTCTCCGGCTCAGACTCCGGTGGCTTGGGTACCTCCTTCTCCACCTTCTTCTCGGGCTTCTTCTCCACGGTCAATTCGTCGAACATCTTTTTGCACTCTTCCCCGAAGGGATCCAGGAAAACCCTCAGCACTTTCCCCATCACAGATGTGTTATTCAACTTTTCCACACACGCCTTGGATGCCTTGGTCGACTCGAACACCACTCTCGCTATGCCTAGATGTTTATTGGTTAACGGGTGGTAATAAATAGTAAGCTCTTCTATAGATCCGAATTTCTGAACCATGTTCATCAAGAACGTCTTATCGATATTGTCGTTCAAGTGACAAAACGTCACTTCCAGCGGCGGTGGCTCGCCGCAGTAATTGGAATCGATCTTAAATCTAGGTACAGGTAGGTCGAGCTGCTCGAGCCGAGTCCAGATCCTCGTCAATTGCGACCTGGGATCTCGGGGCTGAACCTGTGGATACGTTGGGTCTCCCGGGACGGTGCCATCGTATCTGCAGAGTTTCGTGGCTCCCTTAACTAAAAACGGATCGACCAGCAGCTTGAAGTTCCTCTGGGCCTTCGGGGTCGCTGGTGGCGCGGCTGCGTCCTTCTGCGAGTGCGTCACGTGGCCGTGGCCGTGCTTCGCGGACGGCTGGCTCGACGAGTTCTGCGACGTGCTCTGAGAACTGCCATGGGAATGGCGATGACGATGCGAGTGCGCGTGCGAATGTCCATGTCCATGACCATGCCTCTCCATGCCGTTCATCGCCTCCGAGCATCATCCATTCACATGAACCTCTGTCGTAAACATTTACCCAAGCTTTAAACGATATCGGTAGCGCGACGGTTAAGTGCAAGTCAACCCTGGCGCCGGCGGCTCACGGTTTACTCACGTCTCTCGCGGAAAGCGTATCTAAGAACAAATCGTCGGCACAAAATCGAATTGCAAGCCGGCGCGACGCGATCGCCGCGCATCACTCTGTCCATCACTTAAGAATAATTAACTTGAATTATACAAAAATAGCGAATTCGTTGTCGAAACGTTAAGTGCCTCACTCTCTCTCTCTCTCTCTCTCTCTCGCCAGCGACGAGCGATTACATGATCGTTCGGCGACTGACGGATCGAGTGCGATCGCGCTCCTACGCGTGCGGACTAGCCTTACGGCTCGTTACCGGGCATCTCGTCAGCGACTCCTCTTTTTCTCCCTCTCGCCGTACGCGCGCGACTACGTTAGCAGGGGCAACGATTTCACGGGAAACCTTGGCAACAACTCGGCCGTTGATCGTCGCGAGGTGACGCATCCTCTCTTTCACGTCGCGTGAAACGCGAAACACTCGTCGCTGGATCGATACGATCCCCGGTGCGGCGTTACCGATACGGCATCCTCGGACCGAACGTCGCGTCCCGTTTGCAGACTTACGATGTGTTTCTATCTCTCTCTCTCTCTTTCTCTCTCCACCTCGGCCGCTCGGTCTCGCGCGAGCTCCGCTCAACGGCACATAACCTCGAAGGTACAGCTCGGCGCTACTTTTAGGTTGGGTTGCCTGCGCGATAGCGATCCACCGAGGCCATCCCTCGCCGCGGGATTCTCTCCGTGCAAAGCGCCCGTCGACGACCCCACGATCGCGCGAGCCTCGCTCTCTCTTCTTTACTTCCCTGCCTCCGTCTCCCACTCTCCTCGCTTCGCCGCTTGTCGCTCTCTCCTCGCTTCGCCGCTTGTCGCTCTCTCCTCGCTCTCTCTCTCTCTCTCTCTCACTCCCTCTTCCTCTTCCGCCAGAACCTTTAGACCCTTATTCAGTTACGTTGCGATTTCTTTCTCCTCCACTGCCAGGGAATCGCGCAACTTTCGTAAGGTCCAGCAACGGTGCGCAACGGCGCGGCGTCCTCGAGCCCGTTCGCCTATCGAGCTATCGAACCAATCGTCCTCTCGACCGTCCCGCCGTCGTTTCGCCACCGCGGACGGCTCGCGGTTCGCGGTCTCCGGCTCAGAAACGTGACGAAACGTACAGTCCGAGTTTTTCTACTTCTCTCTATCTCTATCCTTCTCGCTCGCTCGCTCGCTGACCCTCCGTGATTCCCCCTCTCTCTTCCTCTCCCGCTCTCGCTCGCTCCTCTCGACGGACAGCAGCGCGAGTTTTGACGCACCTGAGCGTGTTTGGCTGGCCGTGGTCTCCACTCGCGCACGCGAGACGCACTTTGTGCATCCCCCGCGCGCTCGTAAACCCGCTCGCGCGCGAACCGGCTCGGGACCCGCGCGAACGCGTATCCTCCTCCAGTTAAGGCCTGTGTCCACGATGCTAGAATTTCGTCCAAGTTCTAGTCCCGAGAAACGTGTAGCCAATCAACGTGCAGCTTTTGTGGAATAGCTGCAAGTTGATTGGCCACGCGTTTCTCGAAACTAGAACTTGGACCAAGTTCTAGCATCGTGGACGCAGGCCTTTAAACTGGTAATGTCATGCTTAATTTTCAGCCCCGTTTCTGAACACATGGCACGATGCATTTGTGCATTTATGCACAATGCATTCGACATAAATACATAACCAAGCGTTCTGTTTAATAAATAAACGAATTAACGAAATAATGAAACTGAAAGAAATTAAAGTGTTTTACAATTAAAATTAAGACGTTGGTGAAACCGGCCTTTAAGGCCTGTGTCCGCGATGCTAGAACTTGATCCAAGTTCTAGTTCCGAGAAATGTATAGCCAATCAACTTGCAGCTTTTATGGAATAGCTGCGAGTTAATTGGCTATACATTTCTCGGAACTAGAGCTTGGATC